TTGCTCCATGTTCTGTACTTTCAGTGATCAACATCACTCCCTCACTTATATTGTCATCTGTACCATATACTTTTGTTGCTGGTACCTTGTTCTAGCCAGATTGGGGGTCACGGTATTTTGTTGTGATCATTACCACCTCCCTTTCATGCTATGGCTTCATGCCCATCTTCTCTAGATTAACGATCACTCCTGAACTTTGCGTCTCCATTGCCAGATACCTCTACTTTCTCAACTCTGCCTAGAGCTTGCTGGAGTCCCAGGTAGCAAAGATGAAAATGTCTCTTCATTCAATCTTGATGATACCAGTAGTTTCTTCTTGTACTGTAACAAGAAGGCTGTTCCTTCTTCTACACCATAGAGCACTTCTCCATTAGAAGAATTGTATTCATCTTCATTCTCTTCTCTGCATGGTAGTAGGCACCCTTCTTTAGGACATCTTCTTCCTCACACAGACTGATTTTTGGAAGTGCCTATCTATGGATGAAGTTTCTCTTTCCACAGATCTTGTGCATCAGAGCAATCACACAGTCCTTGGATCCCACCTTTGTGTCACCACATATTCCCTTCCCTTATGGGGGCATGGACCTGGCCATAATGGTTTCCCTGAAAGCACAGACTGTGACATCTGCTCCCAATCTGACATCTTTGAGATCCAGAATAAGGTAATCTCCTCTAAATTTTCAACTAAGGAGTCCCCATCAGACTGAAAAAGATATTGAAGGGATGATGATCAAGAACCTCTTAGTGAGGAGGAAAAACTCATAAAGAAATATGAGGATCAGCGTATTCCTCATGACATATCACCTATTCCCCATACCACCTATTCCTCATGACATATCTCTCCTATCACATATTCCTCATATCACCATCATCATCTGAAAAGGCCATGATTTCTTCTCACACGATTATTTCATGGCTTTCCCAGCACACCCTTACAAGAACAACAGACATCTTGGAGATCTCCTTGGGGGTCTTTCGAGAGATATCTCCTATATTATTTCACATGTTACACATAATGTCCCAAGATCATCTAGCCAGACCAACTAATGAATGCATTCTTGCCAGCCAAGGACCTGCATCTATTTTGGCCACATCTAAGAAGTCTGATAGCTAATACCAAGTTCTATCTAAGGGATTGGCATAGTCATTTTAGATATCCAGTACCTGGGTCTTTGATTACAACAACCACTCATGAAAAATCACATTTTCTTGGGCCCTCTAGATCTACACCAGAGATAAGGAGCCCAAGGTGATGAGTCTTCTTGGGAGAAAAGTTTATTCATTAGCTAGTTTGCACATTTGAATAGTTAATTATTTAACTTTACTGGCCAAGTATGACTTTTCTGTGCTCTTTACATCATACATAATATGCAAGATTTCAGTGCATTTATTAGTGTGCATCCTGGTCTTTGGGGAGCTTGCTTCTGATAGTGAGCATAGAGAGGTTTGGGGGTTGTTAAAACTAGAAGAGGAGGCTCAATAAATATTTTTATTTCCATTATTACAATGATCAAATCTCCAGACAACACACCTTTCAAGATCAGTGGGTCTTGCACATTCCTATCACATATGGTATACCTCAACCACTGCACTAAATGTCCCAATAACAGCTATGCAGATGAAACCAGACAATCACTATGCTCTTAAATGAACACAGGAAAATTGCAAGACAAAAACACCCTATCGCCTGTGGGTGAACACTTTTCACAAAGTGATCATTCTATAATTGATTGGCCCATCAGTCCTCATCCTCAAAGGCAAACTGCACAACACTCCCAGAGATGATCTTAGGAGCTTATATTCATTACATTCATAAAAATCACAGTCTTAAAGGCATTGGATTTAATGCTTATTACAACAATCTGTAACCCAATAAGCCCCTTCCTCCTCATATGACTAGCTGCATGTTACTGGGTCACTTTACCTCGAATAATCCCTTAGAATAGGTGCTAACTACTTCTGCTATCTGTTTGACCTTCTGTTTAGCTGTGGCACTCTGAGTAAATTTCCCTGACCTGAAGAAGACTTCTGTGTAGCTTAGAAGATTCTCTTTCACCTGTAGAGGTTGTTCCCATAAAAGATATTCCCTCACCCATCTTCTTTCTGGGTATGTCTAGACCACCCTCGGCTTCCGAAAGAAAATATGCAAATTTAGTGTCAATTTGCATATCTTCTTCAGATCCCTTTTTCAGAAGAGGGGTTTTTTTCGGAAAAAAAACCAGCAGTCTAGATGGGGGGGGGGGTGTGCAACCCTCCCCTTTTTCAAAAGAACACTTATTCCTCAAAAAATGAGGTTTGCAGGGTTCTTTCAAAAAGGGGGAAGAGGTTGCGTGAAAACCTCCATCTAGACTGGTGTTTAAAAAAAAAAAACTCTTCCAAAAAAGGGATCAGAAGAAGATATGCAAATTCATGCCAAATTTTCATATCTTCTTTCAGAAGCCGAGGGTAGTCTAGACATGCCCTGTCTGTAATAGGCTGAGGTATGAATTTGCAAAATTAATCTAATTCAGACTAACTTTTAAAATCATCACAGTGCATTCTGTAATAATATGAAAGAAGAAAAGAGTGCTCTATTTAATGGTGGTAAACATTTTAAAAATGCCTAAGTGACTTAAGAACCTACATTCTGTTTCATAAACTAACTTAGGCACATAGGAGCCTTTTGCTTCTAAATGTCTAAGGGGCTCTGAGCCTGTCGACCCTCAGGTAGACAAATTGTCCGGCAGCCTGCCAGTGGCTAACTCTGATGAACTGTAAGTGGCCAGCATGCTAGAGGTTCTGCACCCTTGCTTTAATGGTACCTACAAATACAAGTGGTGATGGGTACTGTAATTTGGGAGTATTCTATAGGTGTTGATTTTAGGAACAAATCCATAAGGCTCAAAATCAGTGGCATGTAGAGTACAGACACTACCCGTATAGTTATATACTGTCATGAAAGGGTCTAGTAGCGGGGAGCAGTGGGAAAATGCTCTGGCAGTTCCTTATTCCTTTCATCACTGCCTCCCCTGCTACAACTTCCCTCTGCTGTTTCCTCTGCCAGAGCCTTTCCCCACTGCTGGAGACTTTTACTGTGGTATGGAAAGGCTCTGATATGCAGCAGGACATGACACTGCTAAAAACAGCGGGGTAGATGTGATAGGGCATTCAGGAAGCATTTGAGGTATATACCTTGTGAGTTCAGATGTGTAAGGACCCTTTCTTCTGCTCACCTAAACTCTGTCTCACCAGGTACACTACTGTTTATATCCATGCTAACTGGGCATTTAGTGTCTGTATTCTACTCACCTCAATAAGGGTATGTCTACACTACCACCCTAGTTCAAACTAGGGTGGTAATGTAGGCATACCGCACTTGCAAATGAAGCCCGGGATTTGAATTTCCTGGGCTTCATTTGCATAAGCCGTCCGGCGCCATTTTTAAATGCCGGCTTGTTCGAACCCCGTGCCGCGCGGCTACACATGGCACGGGCTAGATAGTTCGAACTAGTACGCCTCGTGGAACAGGCTTAGTGCGGAATGGCTTGCTAGTTCGAACTATCTAGCCCGTG